TTCGAACATCCTCGGGACACAACGTAGCGCTTGGACTGACGTATACGGACCCGACTCTGATCTCCATCTTTTCCATTTGGATGGCCACTATGGATATTCACTGCGACTAGCGAGCCTCCGCCCCTGGTGAGCCTATCATCTCTATGTATCTTGTGGTTCTTGAGTGTGAACCTTTCTCCAGGCTTCAGTAGTGTTTCCTGGATTAGGCACACATCCACGTTGTATTTCTCCAGGGAGTCAGTTCAGCTTTCTTCCCTCTGACTCCATTGGCGTTCCAGTAGACGACACACAGAGATTTAGGCCTGAGCAATCTAGACATGACTGCTCATCAATGCGATCATCTGGGATTGCATCGTGGCCATGAACGTTTGCATTTGTGCTTGCATGGCCTGGATGGTTTGGGCCAGCTGTTCATGGTCGGTTTTGCTCCCTTGTTGACGTTGGGGAGCTTGTTGGGGCGGCAGGTTCTGCCTTGCTGCCGAACTGTAGCTCATGTTGGTTCTTGGCTGTGGCTGTGGCGTTGTTGTTGGCTGGGCTTGCTGGCTCGGTTTTTGCCTCTGCACAGGCTTTGCAGTGCATTCTGAGTAGGAGGCTGGATGTGCTCCTCCGCAGTTTGCACATTTTGCCGCCTTTTCTTTTAGCATTTGGCACTCGCGGGACCCATGCGAACGGCCGCACTTTACACATTTTGCGGCCGCTGTGCATTTGGACTGCCCTTGTCCAAACAGCTGATATCTGTAGCACTGTGTCAGCTGTGTTTTTGCGTGCTGAGATTCCACTCTCACACGCAGATTTCCGAGAGCACGAACTTCAAATATGGTCTTCTCGGTTTTCGGCAGTAGGACCAGTACCACCGGAATGGACAGTCCATCGGACGATTGTGGTGGGGTGAAATCCGAGAGCAGTGAGTTCCTCCCGGATTTTTTCCTCGGTCCAGCATTCGACTACACCCCGAATGACCTGTAGTCATCTTCGGTTGGGGGGTGTGTCCTCACTCCCTCTTTCGTGGTTATGCCACAGCCATAATTTACTTTGGAGTCCATAAGCTTTTTGGTGATTTCGTCATATTTGCTCTTTTCTAGGAGGACAATTGGAGGGATTTTTGTCCTCCTTGTTGAAGTCTGCTGGGCGGCAGGGGTGTTCTGCTTTTTCTGCACCTCGTCATCAAGCTGCTGGGCGGCCTGCTTCTTCATAATCTCTTTTGCTGGCTGCTGAGTGCTGGTCCGGGTCTGCTGGGCTGCCTGGGCTGCTTTGCGTGGGTCTCTAGGCTGGGGCTTCCTTCCTGTGGACAAAGCACACTTTTTAATTGATTTGTCCTCCTCACTGGAAGACATGGGACCGATCCTCTTCCTCTTCCGACGGCGATTTGGGCTTTTAAAGCCATCTCCGTCAGAAGAGTCTGTTGACGGCCCACTGTCCCCTTTGGAGGCCGTTGGGGGAGCCGCCTAGTCGGTGATCCCTCAACCGCCTCGCTGTCACTAGAGGAGGCTGTGCCTTCCTGCATTTCCTCATCACTGGCTTCGCTGGTGGCCTCAGGTCTGCTGGCTGCCATCAGGGTCTCCGCGACCTGTGCGCGATCGCGCCAGAAGTCCACTTGTTCATTGGCCTTTTTAAGGGCCTCCAAAGTGGCCTTCAGTTTGGCCTCCATCGCCTCCAACCTTCTCACGAACTCGTCCGTTGTGAGCGGCTCCATGGATTCCTCCTGAACCTGCGAAAAGTCAAGACAAATGTTGTGTGTCCTTGTTTGTCAGCTGTAAATCGCGCTGAGAAGCACAATTAATGCAACTTGGCCACAAGTAAACACAGTATAGCAGAATCACTCAAGTAAACTTCTAGCATCAACACTGAACTTTTCGAGCACGATGTTAACTCAAGTTAACGCAAGACTCAAGTCTCTCGTCGCTTCGAAATTATGTAATTCCATCCCATATTAATACTTTTACTATATACTGCTTATGATAAGAGATATTTGATGCCAAAAAGTGGGGGTGTTAGACAGTTCTCCGATTCTTTTTTATATGCGCATGTGTCAACTATTTTTTCAACGTTGCCGATTTCTCAATACTTTTCTTATGTCATAAAACAATATGGCTGGTATTTTTCTGCCTGTGCCCATCATGGTTCTGTACCAGGGGATTTTTTATGCCTATTTGGGCAACGCGGTCGGAATCGGAATTTATCTCTTTGGCATGAGATTATCCGTTTACAAAACCTGCTTGAAAAGTACTGTTTTCGGAGTTGTTGCAGGAATATCTCGTCTGAGATTTCCAGATCAACCCCGGTGGTCACCACCGAATAGGAGGATATATTTGTTGGTTAGTAACTTGGGGAGTGGCAGTGGTGTTATTGTAGTGCACTTTATATGACGAAATGAGATCCCGTTCCATCAACAACTGAAGCGCTTGTGTTGCTCTTGGTTCCTCGTTAGTTTTAATGGGAAAGGCAGAACGTGCCCTCCCCTTTCCCATCTTGATGATGACATCCCTGTTGTTATCTTTCACTTTTTTCCATTCGAAGGCCAACTGAATTCTAGATGTCGTGCTTGAAATTTCTACTAAGAAGTTGTATGCGAAGTAGTAGCGTTGTTGTTGTGGTAGTGGGAATGTTGGGATTTATTATGCTGTTGCTGCTGCCGTTGCGTGGCAGAAAAAGGTGATTGAGTCGTGGGAGCCACAGAGGTTTCAGCCCTGTCTGGAGCTGATTTTTTGCATGTTGGAATTGGTGTTGCTGGTGAGGTGGGATCAGCCTTCTGTCTCTTTATTTCGGTTTTAGAAAAAGCGCTTCCTGGGACGGTCCGATTCGGACTCCTGCGTGCTCCCCGGATTTATTCCTGTCGCATATGAAGCCTAAATTTGGTTTGCTGGGTGTCTACTGGCCGATAAGCGAATACATTTTTCAACCGACAATTTTTCTTCCGATTGGAATTCGAGCAGAAAGTACGGATTCCTACCGAGCATCTCTTGTTCGCAGTAGAGCTATCGCAAGACTCGCTTAAAAACATCTCATGTCTTTTAATATTATAACAACCAACTTTTCGTTCCATTCAAGCTGTTTTTAGAAACATTTTCAAATGGGAGACGCAGATTGACCTGGTTGAAAAGTTGAAGTTTATTCTAAATTTTGGTTGGGTCATCAGTCTGGATTAATTTTGTCCTCCAATGCAGCAGGTTGGTTTGTTTGTTCAACATCAAACATAAACATAGTAAAAATAAGTTTTTTGTATAAAGTACATACCAATTATGAAATGTCTTGAACAAACACGACCATTCCTCATATGCTTTTCAGAAGCCGCCGTTTTAAAGCCTGAACCCTAGCATTTCGATGCTCAGTAGACAGGGAATTAAAATCATTTCCTCTATTTATCAAAATAGCGGGAAATCGGATGTGGCAATTTGAATCAATTGTGTAATTACTACATTAGTTAAACTTAATGTTTACATATGTAAACAAGTAGTCAAATGGGATTGTGTGCCACCCAGCATTTGTTTTAGATCTGTCACGACAGATCTTGGAATGGGCGAGAATTTATCAAGATTAAAAAACCATTAGAGCCGGAAGTAATTTATAGGAGACGCTTTTATATTTTGACACAAAATTTCTTATTTGTGCCCATAGTGCGCCGCCTGTCAGAATCGAAAAATATGTGTTTGATAAACCATTCTCACTTTTTGACGTACTACTCGAATCTTCAGTAAAACGGTGCGGTTACCATTTGAAATTATCAAGTTGGCCTTGTCCAGTCTAAAAGATCGAAGTGCCTACTTTGATACTGTTTTTGTTTATTTTTTGACCGGAATGAACTTTTCATCTGAGATATTAAGTTTAGATTGGTATTAGATTGGAGTTTCAAGTTTAAAGAAATCACTCGGTAGAACATTCTGTTTAGTTATTAATATGAAACCAAAATAAACCGATACCAAAGGAAAATAAAATATAATGCACAAACGACCAAGGCAATATTGTTTAACGGTAATTTAAAAACATGATACAAATATATTTATATTAATTTATTATTATGTGTGTGTTTATTATTATGTTATCAGTTTCTTCTAGAATTTAATTTAGTTATGTACCGATCAGGTTTCGTTTTCCGGTCTCTGTAGTCGAAGCCATACTCTTTAACCAAACATTTAACAAAAACGAAACTTATCTACCTATACATAATTATTAATTTTCACGTTGCAGGCGGATGACGGGTTTTATTCATATGTACAACCATGAACGAGACAGTCAAGGAACAACGCACTGGCTCGGATCCAAAAGCTAAAAAACGAATAAGTGGGTTATTTGCAGCTTTTAAATGGTTTAAAATTAGATCAGATGAAGATGAGTTTAGTGGTGCATCGCGATGTATCACTAGTTCTAGTTTAGAAACCGTGGCTACAGATGGAAGTTTTTGGTTTGTGACGCCAGCAATTTGTGAGAGTAGGATGGTTAACGAGAAACACGTCCCGACAGGTAAGAACATCGCTGCTTGACCAATAAATATTCTTAAATATAGTTTCATTAGTACGGCCGGTGTGCTCATTTTATATTTTAATAATTGCATGTAGACATGCGTTTCTATCGTTGGCCATTAGCTTACATAGATTTTCTATCTAAAATTAATATGAAACTATTTCCATATTTACAATGTTAAAAATTAAATTATTTATAGCTGTTTTGTGTTAGAACAGTCACTAAGTACAACAAACTGTGATTCTCAAACAATAAACAAACAGTTGTTATGATATATTACTAACACGGACAGACCCGGACAGTTAAAATTACTCTCTTTCTAAAAGTATTACATATTGTATTGTATACAAATTGTATTTCGTGCTATAAAGGTAACCTTGTTCACTAGCATTATTTAAAAAAAGTAACTGAACAAATTCATAGCACTTGTTATCGTTTACTGGTTTTTATTACCTACTTTGAGTTTTTTCTTCCTTTAAGTTTTATAATTAAAAGAAACATTAGCTTTTTTGATTGGGTTTGTTTTGGATTTTGTTGATAGCACATTTTTTTTGTATTAGTTTTAACGTTATTCACAACGAACCGCTTTAATCGAATACGTTTATAACCGAAATTGGGCAAGTATTATGCACTTGTATGCATTCCAAATTTGAAATTCGTGCAGCGTTGCTATAATAATAAATATCGATATTTTAACGATATGACACTCGTACAATGAAATAACGCAAATAAATACTTTCCGAGTTATTAACAAAAATACATTTTTTTCAATGGATCCCTCTTTATATTTTATCATATTGAACTTGCGCTTGAAAGTACTTTTGCAAAAATAGGGCATTTTTTATAATTTTCTTATGCATTCTACAGGGTGTTCCGTAAATACGTTAAAATATTTCAACAGCGTGTTCTTTTAGTCATTTTAGAGGGTAGTCTTCCTGACATTTTTTTCAATTTGAGCTCTCATTGTCGAGATATTTGATTTCCAAATGGCGGAAAATATTTGTTTTTGTTGTTTTTTCTTCAAAACGGTTAATCAAAGAAACTGCAGTTTTGGTATAGGCACATTATAAGCTAATTGAGTGCCATTTTATGGTAGTGTTTTGTGGTTCAGTTTACTTTTATACACGGTAAAAATGTGGAACCCCTATTTTTGTTTTGATCAGAACTTTTCTGTGTGCAATTAAACTTTTATTACCATATTTTTTTTAATTACTACAAGTTATTTACCAACTTTTTTATCTCTTACTAGTTTTTCTTAAGAGCACTAGTTGCTCGCAAAAAAAATAAAATCGTTTTTTTTGCCGTTCTCAAAATGTAAAAGTAATTAAGTTATTTTGTTAAAATCTAAGAACGTTTCCATATAACAATTTTGGTACGCATTATTAGTTAATTACTAAGAAACTAAATTATTTTTCGAAATTGTGTATTTTGGTTCAAATTATATTTATTGTGTAAATAATAAAATGGTCACAATATGAGCAACGATATAAAGAAACAAAATGAAATTTAAATAACCATTCATAATATAATAATAACACTAGTTACTATTTCAATATGGCAAAGCTTTTTTTAAAAAACAACTAAATTCTAGTAACACGTTTATTTTTGATGAAAGAAACTCTACATGTGCATTTGTTGAAAGATAAAAATGAAGTCACTGGTAATCAGCGCAAATGTGCTTTTGTTTGAAGTAAACGCATTGTCAGCATTTGGCTGATTCAGCGGAACGCGTATCGGACCGTCACATAACTCACTGGTCTGCAAAAAAAATTGCTTTTCTCCTCATTGCTTTCATGCATGATAAATTTATATTTCGTGCTCTAAACACGGAATTTAACATGGAAATAAATATAGCACATATATTTTAAATATAATGTCGATTTAATTAAAAAACTATATATATAAATAATCTTTATTTCCTACAGAAAAAGGCTATCGACCGGTCTTTCTACCCTTGTGTAGTACATATGTGTCTTAGCCTAGCTTATTCTAAAATTAATTCCTATTCGTAACACTCGTGTAAACTAATCAGTGATAAAAAAAAATCTTGGCTTACAAAACAAACAGGTCTTAGTTCAGTTGCGGTTGTGCCTTAGTCTAGCTATTGTAAAATTAATATCTATTCCCAACACTCGTATAAACTAATCAGTGATAAGAAAAGAAATTCTAGTCTTACAAAACAAACAGGTCTTAGTCGTTAGTTCAGTTGCGTTTGTAGTTCTAGTAAAGTATCTGTTGGGATACAAAAACGGGAGTGTTTTGTCTGTCTTGTTAGGCAAAGGGGATTCAGTATGGTTCAGTTGTGGGGGTTGTTTGTCCATTTTATCCGTAAGTGTACTAGTCTTTCCAAAATTTTCCACGTGTCTTATTCATGTTATTAGTCTTAGTGCAATTTGTTCTGTTGTTTGTACGTATCGTTTTGTCTTTTCTGTTCCGTTGGCAATGAGTATATGTTCATAGTCCAAGAGAGGTCTGCAGATCGCTTCGTATATTTTTGTCGCGGTTTTTGTACTTATTCCTTTGTCTTTGTATGTTAGTCATCGAAAGTGTGTTTAGTGAATTTGAGTTTGTGGTGATCCCAAGGTGCCTTAACTTAGTACCTTACAGTTATTGTAGAGGAGTCAGCGTTGAGTCTGTGGTTCGTGAGCAGAAGTTGGTTTTTTGTCGCGTTTGGCGTTAGTCTCCTTTTATAAAACCATGTCAAAATCATGCCAAAAAATGGTCAAAATGAAAAGCGGATGAATGAATAGTCGAATGGTGTTTGAAACCGAATTGGTAGGTACCAATTCGGTTGTCTCTGTTGTCCAAGTCTCTGTTTTAGTATGTGTTCCAAAACTTTCCACAGCACCGGGAGTAATGTAATAGGTCTGTAGTTTTTAATTTGTGTACCGTCTCGCCCATTGTTAGATATAGGAATTATTGTGTCAGTAGTGTTAGTTTTCTTGTATTGTGCTCATTTCTTGATTTTTTGCCAATATGTTTTGCCCTTGTCCTTTTCTATTTCCTTGCATGTTTCTAAAACACCATTTGTCTTGTCGGTATTGTCCAATCAGAGTTTTAATGTTCCTGTTGAGCTTTTTTACGTCGTTATTTTGGGTGTAAGTATATAGTCTGTAAAGTTCTTTCTTATGTTTTATAAATCTCAGTATGAATTTGGGTAGGGTGTGTCGGTAGAAAACATTTTTTTATTTTAGGGGTGAATTTTCCTATAGCTAGTGAAAGTTGTTGTTCAATTGAGATGATCTGTGCTTGCGATTGTATGTAGTTATGTATATGTTGTTTCACTTTGTTTATGTCAGTCTGAGTTAAGCTTAGCTTTTTCTCTCGATTCGGTGTACTGAGGGTAGGTTGCATATGTTTTAAGTCTTAAACGTTATAGCCAGATGGTCCGATCCAAGTTCGTTAGTTAGGCTTATGTTATTAATGGTGCTTGTTAAGTTTGTTGTGTACAGTAAAACGTCTGGTGTGGAGTCTGGGTTTCCGGGCATCAGAAAAGTTGGTGGGGTGTGTTGTTTTATAAAGTCTGAATTGTCTAAAAATCTTTTCAGTTGTTCTGTTTTGTTCTTGTTGAGGTTAAAGTCGCCCGCAATAATTGCGTATTTGTAAAGACTTGGGTTGGTCAGTATGTTTTGTTCTAGGTTGGAGTGTGGGTGTATGTATGTCAGAAATATGTGAACTAAGTCATTTAAGTAGGGTATAGTAACATGTATGCAGTCGTACAAAGGGTTGTCGAGGTGGAGAGGATTTGCTTTGCCTAGTGTTGTCTCTGTATGTCGGTGTTTGTCCGGGTTTGGTTTTTGTCTCCACAAACATACAGCATTCAATGTTATTTCTCTATATAGTTATAGACAAGGTGCTTTTTACCATTTAGTTCATTAATGTTGGCGCATGTAAGTCTTAGATTGAATGTTCTATACTTGTGATTGTTTGTCTAAGTTGGTCGTGGGGTTCAGTCGGAGAATTTCTGGTAGGTGAAAGCATGTCAAACATCAGTATGTACATGTGGTTTCCAAAGAAAACCACAGAAGTGTCGACGCTAAAGTCGTCAATAAACTGTTTGGGGAGTTTTTTTTATTAATTCCTCTCTGTTGTTGTTGCTTGTTTTGTTCAGTTGGTGTTTGTATTTGTTTATTATGTGGTCATGTGTAGTAATTGATTTGTAAATTTGGTTGTCTATCGTTACTAAACCTGACACCTCCGCCGTTCTCTTGTTGAGGCATTTTACCTTTACGTTTGAGATTCATTCTATGGGGCGTTTGGGGCACTTCATGCTCCATGCTGCATGATCGTCCGAGTTGCATGTTGCACATTTAGCCGGAAGTGGTGAAGTGCAGACAGTAGTTGGATGGGTTCCTTGGCATTTGGTGGACTTAACGGGCTTCTTACAGTTCTCCGACCGATGGTCATATACACAACATTTACTGCAGGGTGCAGGGATGAGTACATGTGGTCTGCTTTCTACTATACGGTAGATACGGCCCAGAAAGTGCACACCTCTATCCGTCGTAAGGCTCTCATAAGTCGCGTGGTCTCCCGTAATCAGACGCATCATTAGAGTAGGTCTCCCTGTTTGCCTTGGTATGATTCTCTTGCAGAATCTTATTTGAGGATGGATTTTCTTAAGGTGGTTTAGGAACATCTCGTCGGTGATATCGAGATCGACTCCTGACACTCCGGTTGACATTTGTGAAGGTTGGTGGGTTAGAGCCGTTCAACTGCATCTTATACGACTTGATTACTCCCTGGTGTTTGAGGAGTTCCAGTGCTTTGGGTTTCCAATTTAAACATTGGGTATCTCGATTGGTTGGAGTTGGTTGAAATTAGAGTTGTAGATGATGTTGTGGCTGTTGGTTTTATTGAGGTGAATGTCGTAGCGCGTGGTGCTGTTTCTTCTACTGCCGGTCGTTTCATATCCTGAGTGGGTGTTGTAGGGTTCGATGATTCGGCTGTAGATTTTGGTTAACTACCCCGCTTTTTTGACTTCTGCACCGTGAATACCT